CATTTACATTACAAGGGTCGAAAAAAAATATAAAGTTGCTGATATATTTATATCGCGTTGCGTTTTCAAGCCAATATCCAGACAGAAATATTGTATAGAACGCATATGCATAAATCAGGACTCTGCTCTACATTTATGTAAATTATTCTGGACGATTGCAAAACGAGATTAGTAACAAGTCGTTTCTATGGCGTTCACTTCTTGGAAGACGTTACGCCGTGTTAACGTCCCATCAAAATTACAGAGAGAACGTAATACGCACGTATAATCCGTCACTCTCTCACATAATCCGTCTCTCTTTCTCTCTCTCTCTTTCTCTTTCCATCAATCTAGTTTTACCGATTAACATTACAATAAATCCGCTAAGTGCGTTTGCAAAAATGTATAATTTATGAACGTTTCTTTACGACACACCGCGTGATTATGTGTACGCATGTTACTGTAAATATAGATCAACGATTAATTTGTCGTAAGACTTATTTGTCGGTACATATTATCATTTATGTTTCTTATGCGCATATCTAATCATTGCAATTTTTACAAGAAACGCACGGGTAGAGCGAAGGGATCCACATTCACTGTGGTTGACCGCGAAACGACATGCAGAATTGCGATACAATATATCGGCGTCGAATTGTCACTCCTTGTTATACTTTATTAAATATCCAAATGTGTTGCAATATCTAGGTTTGCTGATCGAAAGATATTGAAAAGTGCAGAAATACCACATTAATGATAATAATCAACGATAGTATCGTTAAAATTCGAAACCAGTTGCTGGATTAAACGTGATAAATGCGATGTGCCCAATGCTTTAGATTCAGCGCTGCAGATATGTGGACGCGTAGAACGGCGTGTTAATTGCAGCACTAACTTAGTTGCATTGCTTGTACGCTCATAAGGAAGAAACCCTCGGGGTGTTACATTAGAAACTGCGTCGTACTTTAAGAAACTGCAAATGCGAAACGGACTCTTATAGCATGTACAAGATGCATGCAATGCACAAAGTTATGAGTTCCACGAGAATGGAACATTCTTTCCGTGACATCTTTTTACTTAACACATAAATCTTCGTTACGAGCGCCGCGTTCAAGTTTAAAATCATCGTACGTAATGATTAATGAGAACATATTATTTCATTTATTTTTATATATTTTTTATAAATATAGTATAAATAAAACAATTATTTTTGTATGCATATTCAATTTCTTGCTAATAATTATGAAAGCAAACAAGATAATTGTAAAAATAGATTTTTTTTTTTTCTAAATTACATGAATTTCCTTTTACATTTCTGTGTACTTAATGCGTTACATAGATAATAGTTTATTAGCTGTCGACTGCTAATATCGTGTCTTTTATTAGAAATTCTGCCAGTATTGCTGCGCGGCATTTACTATTGCTATAAATTAAAAATTGTCATTAAAATCATTTCCAAAGTGGCATAGAATATTCTACTGCGTACACGCAGTGATAATCTTCTTAAAATGTTAACGTAATTTTATCCATTTAGTCTCCATTGGTAAACAACATTATTTTCGATAAGATAAAAACGCAGCTGTTAATTTCAAAAGTGCCAATAAATATGTTGTGTTTACTTGGACCGATAAAAACTTTCGTCATTGACTGCTTCGTGCCGTTGCCATAGAGATATCGTTGTCCTGTCCGGCATAAATTAAAATAACAAATCGATGTTCAATTTGGCTTGAAGAATCCTTTCTCTGACACTTGCGTGACATTGACGCGTGCGAGAACAGTGCGATACCCAATCGATCGATTGTAAAAAGAGATCAGGTCAGAATGAAAACAAACTGATCAACCGTAACACACTATAAATAGAATTTATGTAACAGGACGTCGTGATTTTTTGTATTCCTATTCAGTGGATGTTATAGATGATCTTGATGGTATAAATATTTTGATCTCACGCGCGTTTCCTCTCGACATATCAAAACGGACAGATAAGCGGTCGTTATCGTAATATTGATTTTTTGCGACAATAAAATGCTAATTGCTAATAACAAATTAATCAGCACGTTAGTTTCGATATAATCTATCATTTAAGAAAAATTAGCAAAAGAGAAGAGAAATCGATTTTTACATCTAAAAGTCAAAAATAAATCTCTGAAATTATCTGATAATTTTCTCAATTAAAAAAAATTGCTGCTTGCTCTTTCGCTGTGAAACTGTTATGGAAAATAGAGAGAACGTCTGGTAATTCATACTTCCGGAAGATTATCAGTCCATGATCATTGTCGATTCGAAGAGAGTGGAAATCTCTCGACTCTCGATGCCTAGGAGTGCATCCGCACCATATGTTAGCGTGTAAAAGCCGTTGCTCTATTCTCGCAAAAATCGACTAATAAAAAGGTAACTCGTCGACCTTCGATATAGTCTATGCTTCGCGGCGAGTGCCTCTCCATCTCTTTTCCACTGTTACGTCTCTCCGTCTCTCTTGGCTGTTTTCTTCTCTCTCTCTTTCTCTCATTACGTCTGTGTGTACGCCGCTGCCAACTTTCACGTATCATAATGTACAGTGAAAGAATGTGGTTTCCCTTTCAAATTACAAAATATACCACGAACGCGCAGAGCACACTTCCTTTTCTTTAATTTTATTCTTTTACGTCATTGCGATGCGTTTTATGATTTTCTCATTTAACACGCACCACGCATTTGCATTCAACGGTAGACGGATCTTTTCAGACGCAGATGTCAATCACCAAGTATTCGAAATAATCACATTCAAATAAATGGAGACGGAGAAAATAGGGGACATTTGCATCTGTCATTATTTGTCTTATATTTTAAACATGAATCCCAATTTCCAGTCTCATCTTTATTCGAGTCTCGCTTTCATTCGAGCGCGATTGAAAGCTTACATCCTGTTGACAAGTGAGACATGGCGGTTCTAAAGGTTCAGACTGGAAAGGACAGCACTTGAGACTGAAACCTTGATTGAGATATTACATTGCCATGGTGCGCACAATCGGTATACGCGGTTTTATTATTGAAGCAGGACTTGACCCAGATTATCGAGAAAAAAAGACATCTAGACGATTCATCCCGATTGCGAATATCTACCTGACGTCTTCGTCGAGCGGCACGATATTGCCGCCGGCGACGATTTGTATCATCTTTCACGTTATTAATTTAGACAGGAGGGATGGATTTATGTGGGCTGCGACAAAGTAGGTCAGGGACACATCAGGGTTTGCATGCGCATAACTTATGTTAGCCGAGTCATCTGGATTCATATTTCTTTGCTTATCTCGCTAACAATGCAGAATATATGTCGTTTAATTATTTCAGAGAAACAGTAGCATTAATTCGAACAAGAATTCATAACTTTGATACTGTTGACAACTAACGTAACTTGCAAATACCAGCGGATGCACGTGAATTGCATGATAATGTATTTAAACGCGAACAATGAGACAAACGTAGAATAGACGCGAACAAAATGACGATACATGCAATCTTCGCGCGATTATTATCTCCTTTTCTTACTTTCTATTTCTCGTGCTCGTGATAAGAAAAAAATATATGTTTTATTCATTATATAAATATATAAAACTACGTCTTAAAACTGTATAAAACGTTTTATATATAACGGAAACAATGAAATGATAGACTTGAAACTCGTGAAATAATGGCGGTGTCATACGCGAATTTTAAAAAGCTAAAGATGTATAAAATACACCGCGCTGCTCCGATGAACTTTGCAGGCAACAGGTTTCACCTCTTTTCCACCGCAACAGCTGTAGAGCTCCCCGCTTCCTCGTAACTTCAGTATTTAAGGATATCTCGCACAGCCGCGAAGCAACGCCACTTGTCCGGCAAATAGAACGGTTCAAAGATGTGCGGGAAGGGACAGTCCCATCCTGTAACCCTTTGTACCGGCGCCTCCAAATGCAAGAAGCACTCCGCCTGGTTTAATATTAATACATCATGAGAGAGATATATACATGATTCAGTCTATTGTTAATCTGGTTATTTTATATAGCATTTATCAACGCGGTGGTTGCATCTCTAATTTATATCACAAAAGCAGACCAGTTAATTAATTAATCATCGATTAACCTTTTCGTTCCCACTGTAGCCATATGGCTACATATTTAAAATTATGAAATAAAATATTATTGTCATCTGTGAATATGTACTAGTCTTGTTTACTCTAACACGTATTTTGCTGTGCACTTACAAATTTCGCAATGAAATATTAGATTATTATCATCTTTCATTTTTCGCCGTTATAATTCGATAATAAGAGTTATGTAAGAGCAATTAATATTTAAAATTGATAATTTTTTAAATATTTTCTTGAAATATTTTTAAATAGACAGATTTATTAATCGAAAATAAGAAAAAAGGTTTTTTTACGTATAATAACTTTGCAACGTAAATTATTGCACATGGTTGCGATAAAAACAAAATTTATTACTAAACAGCAACGAATAAAAAACACTCAACGTTCTTAAACGTTTTTGAAATGTCAAAATTTTTTTACAAATGATTTATTTGTTATGTAATGTGCACAAAAATGCAAACAAATGTTTTTTGTAGCTATTAAATAATTTGGGAACGAAAGGGTTAACGTCGATCGAACAATCAACGCGAAATATTTGAGAAATGATCGGTTAAACGATCAATCTTAAGAACCGGTTTGCAACCACGATGTGTAATATGCAGCGCGACATTATATCTTCGGTCGACGTATCTCTCGGACATGAAAGATTTCCGACTTGGCGCTTAGTTTATATATATTAGGGTCATGCAATAGATCTGCACGCACATCTGGCTAGATTGCGTTAGGTGTCTTTAGACCTCACTGTGCTTTCTATTCGCGCAATATATGCAGATTTTATCGTCACCGCGATTCTGAGTTACGAGAGTATCTTACCTGCACAGTCGCGGCGATTTCTGCCCCAAATCCGTTCGTCATCGGCGCTTCATGGGCGATGACGACGCGTCCGGTTTTCCTCGCCGACTGTAACATTTGCACGCGCATATCACGCATGATAATATATCGCCGGCTGTCCGCTGGATTTAATTCGCGCGTGATTTACGTTCCCCGTCCCATATTGTTGCGGTACAATAACACATTTGCATGCGGGCCGATGCGTCGCTAAGTGGGCATATTAACGCCTCGACGACGGCACGAGCCGTTTTGTAACGGCTATCAAATACAGGTCTACGCGCGATTGTCTGTGGAAATGCACACGCGTGAACGGCCGGCGATCGGGATCATAGCATGTTCGTGCGCGCACGTGTGTGTCCTGTTGTAAATCATTAATATAGATAACTAACTGAGTGAGCGCGGAGAGACTGAACGTCGGATACAGGTTCGTATGACATTTTCGACTTGCACTGACCTTCCCTGCAACTTTCAGAAGTTACGTTACGGATACAGCCTGCGGAAAGCCTACGCTTTTGTATTTATGAGATGCTATGCTATTCACGACAATTAATCTTTATTAATAAGTATTTTGCTGTCGCAACAGGTATTTGAATTGTTGCCTTTTCTACAATGTTCGATTCCTTTCAAAACGACCATCTGCCATTCCGCGCTTTTATCTCTTAATTATTCCAAAGTATTAAAAAAAGGGATGTTTACTAGATTTAATATCCAATGTGTAAAAACAATGTTGTATAATACAGCTTAAATTATGTCATAGTTCAAATTTTATTAATTTCTTTTTTAGCGATTTACAAGACTGGTCTTAATGACATATCGGCAACGTTAACTTGTTTTGAAAACAAAATTGCAGCTAGCATCTGAAAATTCAATTAACAATCTATCATGCAGTAATGTCCTACGTTCTTTTTTTTTTTTTTGTATTTATCAATCATCTCGCTCTTTTAACGACGTAATCAGCGATTCTTTTAGTCCCGCGCGAGCCACGGAGGTTTCTCGCCGAAGCGATGTATCAATATTTTGTTCTGCGAGCGGTCGTCTCGTTGCGAAACCGCGCGGTGTTTCGCAGGCAGGCAGTCAGGCAGCAGGCATCGGTGCGGGTAGACAAGACGGCGAATCCGCGACTGTATCGAAATTGCAGCGGAACGGGTTTCCAATTACGCTCACTTACACGGTAACCTGCACACACTCGCGCCGTGCATATATAATATCACGGTTTGTAAGCCGCGCGGAGTGCATACCGCGAACGATCGGCATATCATTAAGCGACCAGAGATCGATTAGCATAAATCAGCGTGATATTGGCGTCTATGGAGATCCATGCTATCGTAACTCGAAGGGACATGCACAAGTCGGTTTCACTCACGACTACTTTTCTTCATTCCGCTATCGGACACACGACGTCCGCTATCGTCCGTTATCGTTGACGCCGCGCAGGATATGCCGTCGTTGCTGCGGATCGCAATATCGCAATATCGAATCTTCGCGTACGATCGCACCGGAATTTTCGATATTTTCTCACTATCCGACAATTACGCCGTACAGGAAACGGTATGCAAATAGTGCGAAAGAAACTCGCCATCGCGTCTTTCATATCGCGCGTAAGGATATCCGGTGATTTGTTACATCGAAATGTTTTGACATCGCGATCGCGATATCGGTGAGTCTCGAATTAAAAGGAAAGAATCGGATAAAAGAAAGATCGTGCGATTATTTCGACCCTTGAAAGCGCTGATGAAAAACGAGATTCCGCGAACGGAAACATTATCGTCGCGACGAAAATGGAGAGATGAGGAAGGATAACGTCGTTATGTCTGAAGCGAGTCGACTCCTTGTTTTCAAGGATTGTAATAACGCAGAGAAATAAAAAATTGCCTACCTTGCATACGAGTTCCGCGTCCCAAGGTAGGATGGAAACGAGGTCTATCACCTCGCAGGACACGTCGAGCTTTTCTCGGACCAGGTCGGCCGTCTCCAGCAGTACGTGCACCTGAGTGCCCCAGCCTACGAGCGTCACGGCGTCACCTACGCGACAACAAAGCATACATATGTATTGTCGCACTGTCGCGAGCGCGCGTCACATTAACTCGCGCAGTTTCTTCTGGCGTATCCTGTTTCAGGACCGGTCATTGGCGACAGCGCACCGGCGATTGGATAATGGAAGGACGATTACGCTCGGTAAATTATATTCGCGACGACACGCAGCGCGTACGGCGAGAATAGTTACTTTCTACGACTTTAAATAGTGTTTTATTTTCGTTGTTTTCATCGGACAGCATGCGCTCTGCGCACGGGAATGCAAGAAGCGAAGGTTGCCTTCTATTTTAAACACTTCCTCGAAGGATGACTTTACAATTGCAAATTTTTATACCTATATGGCATAATCGTTTCCGCATTTTAATCTTTGAAATTGCAAACTTATCGTGTTGAATAGTCTATTGAAATTTATGCGAAGTTTACGCGATGTAAAAATATCTCTAATATGAGTAATCGTCATTAGTTTCAAATGCTGAGAGAGAATTATAAGTGCAAAACCATATAAAACTTATAATCTTGTAAATTCAAAGTTTTCGAGAACAATATTGGAACATATTGGCACACAATAGTGCAGAACCTGATATCGAAATAATGCCGAATATTTCGGAACTCACCCGCTCTTACAATCTCGGCCTTGCCGATTTCGATTTTGTAACGTTCTACGGGCACTTCGTCGATTGCAGTGCGGTACAGAATCTTAGGCTCGAATATAATACAAGGATCTGGTTCGTCTATGCAGCTCAACAGCAGACCTTTCGCTTGCGTTGCTCCGCGAGGCACAACGATCTAAAAAAGAAAAAAGGAAAAATAAGAATTCTTTTCAAGAGAACACGAGATTGTTTCTCCCGCAATTTTCTCGTTCGCGATCTCTCTGTCAATAATTGGCGATTCTTCGACAGCCTCAAAACAGGCATGAAATTGATCAGCTCCAGGAAATGTCGGTATTACGCTCCTCTCGTAATCACGATGTACGATAGCGACGGTGGTTACGCATTAGTGTGCGGGCAAAACTTTCCTCATGCATACGTAGAGTATATACGTCGTACAATATTCATGGAATTTGTTGAAGAAAGTTGAGAACTCATAGCTACGGCTGGTGCGGAATATAGCGAAGGTGCGAGGAATGTCCTTGATAAAAATTCGGTTGCGAGACCTGATTGCTCGATATTGAGGTATATTAATGACTGTTAATAAGTTTTTAGAAACAAAAACCTTTTTTACATATAAATCATATCGCGATAGAATTTAGAAGATGGCAAATCGTGTCAAATCTTATCGTTTAACTCTGCAGTCTCACACATTTCATACAATTATAAATCTTTTACGATTTCATTGTGAAATAATTTTTATCTTGATAAAGAACTTGTTTTTTTTTTTTGCTGACTATACTAACCTTTAAGACATTGTGCGCGTTGAAGCACTCGTGATCAAAAAAAGGTGAACCATTCTATATGTGATGTTGGATAAATAAAAAAAGTGGTACATTTACTAACCTTCAAGCCGGGAGTGTGCGCGAAATAAGCTTCCGGGCTTTGAGAATGATAAAGGCCACCGTGGCCGACGGCTCCGCAAGGCGTACGAACCGTCAGTTTGCCACAATCAAACTGATTGCCGCTTCGATATCTCATTTTGGCCGCTTCGTTTACCAACTACAAAGAAAATTCATATTTAATCTCATAACAGAGCGAGATAATTAATTTTTTCAGGACGTTTTAAATACATTTGCAAATATATTTTGCATTATTTGACATGGCTCGCTTGCGGAATTACAATGGCGTGTCTTTTATTCCTTTTTTATTTTTGAGTAAATACGTATTTTTATTTGTTACTTAAAAATTTTTTTTATTTTTAAGTATTAAATGTTTGAATGTCTTTTACACTTTGTATATTGAAAAATTGGTGCACTAAAAAGTAATTCTGAATTTTTATCACTTATATATTGTGTTAGAGTAATAAAATACCTGATCGAAGGCGGGAAATATGTAATCCGCAAATTGTATTTCGGCAATTGCCGATATTCCCGCGTTGGCCAAGCCAATTCCGAAGCCGGCAATTCCTTGCTCACAGAGAGGCGTGTTAAAAACGCGATCAACACCGAAACGTTCCTTCAAATTCATTGTGCAACGAAAAACACCACCAAATGCCACATCCTCGCCAAATATCACTAAAAATTTTAGAGTTTAAAAAAATAAAAAAAACTGTTAGCAAAATATTTTATTTATTTTTGGAGATGTGCAAGTTTATTTAAAAGATAAAAAAATTCCATTTTTTGAAATGTATATTTTAAAATATGTTCTAGGAAAAAATTATTAAATTTTAAAGAGTCAAAAAATTAAACATGCATGCCACAAATTATGCCTATATCTGAAGAGAAAATGATTCTAAAATATTTAGATGTATAAGTGAATATTTTCTGTTTCAAGTTTTGAAACATGTTGGTATAACAAGATACTTACCTGTACGTGAATCGTTTTCCAATGCTAGAGTAAGCCCGTGATTTATGGCTTGATACATATTCATCTCTTGAGTCTCGCCTGAAAGAGAGAGAGCATAGCTCTTTTAACTAATCGCATAAATAATTTATTAATTAACATAAAATGATTTGAACTTGGGAAAATCCTGAGAATATTCTAATACAAGAATATAAAGAAACAAACTGCGAAGTTTTTAGTAAAATTAAAATTTTTTTCAAAAAACTAGGTTTATTTGAACTAATTTAAATATCCGAAGATATCTAGGGTCCGAGTTTACTTTCTTATCTTATTTTCACAGAAAGAAAGCTAAGATAACCATAGGCTTCGATCATTCCACACACAACTGTCGATGTTATATAGTAAAATAATTTTTATTTTTTTTTCTGAATATAAAAGTACACCACGATTAGCAAAATTTACATTTCTCTCTACAATTAAACCACTCCTCATCGAAACCGGTTTCAATTTCTGCATAAGATTGAAAAATCATCATGCACAAAAAGATTTACATAATTGCATAAACATAGCATATAAATTTCTCGATAATTGTGCAATAAGTTGTAAATTCTACAAAGCAATGCAACGATTTTATTATTAGTCGAGCTTATTATTAGTTGAGACTTTACATATGTTCTTATATATGTTAATTTATTTTTGTCCGCAATCACGTTTATAGAATTTTCTAAAACAGTTTACTTACCCGACACGTTTGGCCTTTTGCTCGGGAAATACTTAAAATGTATCGTTCTGACATGCTTGCACTCGACAGACGTTTCACCGCGATCCAAAAGCAGTTTTCTTCCGGCACTTCGTAGTCGCACGCTCAACTTATTGAGCATCATCTTTCGTTCGAGCGTTACTCTGCTCGCGTGAGCGTTCACGTCGCTATGAGGTTGTAAGTTATTATCTCTATTTGCATACAATGCGATATCACGAAGCGACGCAGAGACCTCTCGTTCAACCTTACGTGGAATTTCGTAGACATGCACGAACTTGTGATCGAACGATCAACGAACGTGTACATCGGTGATTGACAACGCGTCAATACAAAACTATTTTCTTCTTCTCTGTACGTACGCTTCAACTATGAGGCTTCGAATGTTCGGTTAAAAGAGGAATGGGTCTCACAGTAGGAGGGACAATTCTGATAACATTCTGACTTTAGGAATGCTTATCAGTTGGGGAAAATTTATTGTGACTTCGGATTAGTTGAACTTGGTAATTATGGATTACCAGCACAATGCTTCGTCACTAGCTATGTGACATATGCGATAAATTGTTATAATTAAATTTAAAATATATATTTTTAAGTTAAAAATATGAATATGCCACTTCTTATAATTGTATTATATTAAATATGTACAAAGATTCAAAAAGATTTTATATGAAGCAAGCGATTTCGAGAAAATAATATTTGAAAAAATAATAAAATGTTTAAATGCACAAAAACACTTTGTACTTTTTTTTATATTAAATTTAATATAAGAAATTGTACGAACTTTTTAGATTGCGCGATACTTATATGTGTGAATGCATTTAAACGTCTCATTATATTTTTAAATTTTCTGCTTGTTTTACATAACATTTCTTTTTAAAACTTTGTACATATTTTATAAAATTTATTTTTTACATTTATCCATTGAGATCGGATAAAAGGATTTCTTGATTCTCTTCAATTGGTCATTTGTTTTTATCGACCGTCGGTTACGACAAGCAAGTGCATGTAGTCATGCCAGTGAGAATTAGCTGAAAGAACGAACAGTCAGCCATTACTGATTCGTTCTTGTGGTTAGAGAGACGTCTTTGTCCCCAAGCATCTTCCGCTGTGTGCAGAGGGATCAAGATATCGTCAAGATTAATTGATTGATTGAGAAGCTGGATTATGGCGAATGTTGATATGGACAGACCTAGTAACGGCGACTATAAGTATCAACGGGATGAAGACGATATTAAACCTAGGATTCTGGACGACTCTGATGGGAAGGATCATCAAGCCGACAAGGCCGGTGAATACGTGCGGGAGCTGCTTCAGGAGAAGATCGAGCTCGATACTCAAAAATGGCCCAATGCGATCCGGTTGATCGATCAAGGTAAGTAAAAATGTTCCTTAATTTCACTGCTATTTGTTTTTTGTGAAATAAGTGATTGATTGAGAAACTCACTGATTGATCATTCTTTATACCGGATCATTATTATGCCGGGCCAATGTTTTTACTTACAATGAAATTTGTTTAAATCTGTTCTGAATATTTAAATATATTTGAGTTGAAATACTGTTGAAATTTTACTGCAACAAAATCCAAAAATTTAATACAACTTAAAGTATGTTTATTATTCAATTAATATAACAATTTAAACAATTGTGAAACAGTTTAAGATGCTTGTTTGTTCTACATAATTTTCTGCTGAATTTTTGTTAAAAGATTTGTAATAGGAAATAAAATATTCCATCTGAATTTGTATTTTAGACTTTCAGAATTTTTCATTTCTTAATATTAAGTGTCTATTCTTATTTTACTGAATTAAAATGCATTTCATCTTTTTAAGTTAATATATAGTTTGAAAGAAATGTATAGTTTTAAAAATAACTGTATTATTTAAGTTCAATTTTGCTATATCTACTAATATAAATAAAAAGAAGGATAAGTATTTATATGTATGATATATATTGTGTACAAAACAGGAATATCTTCAAAAAAATATTTTTAATATTTTATATAATTATATATAATTATATATAATTTATTTGATATTAAAAACGAAATAAAATTGATAAATAATGATGACATCTACTGAATCAATATTAGTGAATTAACAATAAGTTATACTTTACTACACCATAAAGAATTACATAATTTATAGAGATCCAAAAGACACAAGCTATTGGAAAACCATTGAGAGATCCCAAATATGTGGATATTTATCGTGAGAAACCAGTTCGTGTTTCTGTCAAAGTTTTGGTGCCTGTTCGTGAACATCCCAAAGTAAATATACTTGTTGCTTATTTATTTTATATAACAATGTGAACAATTATGAACAAATTAAAAAAATGTTTGAGTTATGTAATTTTTTGTTTTAGTTTAATTTTGTTGGAAAACTATTGGGTCCAAAAGGTAATTCCATGAAACGTCTGCAAGAAGAAACAATGTGCAAAATGGCAGTATTAGGTAGAGGATCAATGAAAGATAGACAGAAGGTAGATGACAAATTCTATTAAAAACCGTTTTTGTCTACCTTGAAAAAAATAGTCTACGCGTTTAATTTTAGGAAGAAGAATGTCGTACTTCTTTGGATCCGAAATATGCACATCTTTCGGATGATCTTCATGTAGAGATTACAGCTATTGCACCGCCAGCGGAGGCTCATGCTCGCATTGCTTTCGCACTGGCAGAGGTGCGAAAATATTTGATCCCAGACAACAATGACAACATACGCCAAGAGCAAATGCGTGAAATGGAAATGAGTTTGACTGATGATCCTATTTCGGATGACCGAAGATCTTCAATAAGAGGGCCTTCTGGTCCTGGTACTAGTGGCATACTAAGACCTACTGCGAGGCCGACATTACCTAGAACATCTAGAGGTGAGTTATACGTTTATAATATTGAAAATACATCAGAAATACTAAGAAATATTGTGTAATTTGTTGTGTAATCTATTCAATGTCACTGATTGTTACAAAATTGCCATGATTACCATGATTACTAATGTTCTTTGTGTTGCAATATATTTTAATTTCTTGTATATTCAAAATTGTATAAATATATATTTGTGTGTTTGTGTCCCAGACTTACCGTATCACCCGTTAATGACAGATTCCTGAGATCATTTGGAGACGAAAATCTTAATACCAAAATGTCAAGGCTATTATGGTATTTGAATAGGAAAGGCTTAAAGTTTACCAATTAGCTTGTCAGAATTTCGCGCGCTCAGGGACTTCGCATCTCGAAAGGACCCTTGCACAACACTTTATTCAATACGTTTTATTCACTTCACTCAGCTCTTATCACTTTATTTACATTGTTCGCAATACTAACAAATTTACTAACGATAATAATTTCTAAATTGTATTAAAACGCGATGCGCGTCGAACTGTCAAAGCAGTCGTGCCATTGACAAATGACGTTTCTCATGTCATGAGAGAAAATCAATACTATCGGTACGAAGTATGATCTGCTACATAAAGTGTTGTGCAAGGGTCCTTTCGAGATACGATGTTCCTGAGCGCGCGAAATTCTGACAAGCTGATTGAAAAACTTTAAGCCTTTCCCATTCAAATACTATAGTAGCCTTGATATTTTGGTATTAAGATTTTCGTCTCAAAATGACCTCAGGAATCTGTCATTAACGGGTGATACGGTAAGTCTGGGACACCCTGTATTGTATTATATACATTCATTGATTGTTCACTATTCAGCTATGCTTCCACCCCCACCTGCAAATCGTGGACCACTTTCTCGACCTGTACCACCCAAATCGAAGGTATTCTCGATTTTGGATCGTGCAAGAGCTGCTATGGATCAAAATTATGGGTAAGCAAATGCTAGCCATATGTGATATAAATCAAATACGTATTGGGTTAAGTATTTAAGTCTTATTCATCTCTCTGTAGCTATGAAACTCAAACGCCTCCACCAACAAATCGTGTTGGCTCGCATCATGATTACGATTATCATGGATCATCGTCGAGTAGTACTCGATATGGTGATCGTCATTATGCGCCCAGCTCTGGGTATGTATTACAACGTTTATTATTATAAAGATAAAAATGGAGTAAAGCATTTATTATTTATAGTTTAAAAAAATAAGGAGCATATTTTTATGCTTATGAGTTTTCTTTTGCCTTTCACAATGTAATATACATAGTACATATTTTCGTGGCATAATGATATAATCATAAAATATTTTTATACAAATGCCATTTTTACTTTACCTATATATTTTATTTATATAATTATTTGATATGCGATAAAATTTATAATTATTTAACAAAAATAATGTTTTCTTCTTCAAGATATACAACTTATGAATATGAGGATGACTCTGCGCCGCATTCTTCACACGATTATTATGAATCTTCGGACTATCCAGGTAAATTTTTACATTTTTATATTTATTTGATTATAATATTAAATAAAATTGCACAAATACAAAATTTCTAAAATTTTATTTTTTAATAATAATTCGTGAATAAATTTTTTTAAACTACATCACATATTTATATGAATACTTGTAAATTATTCCATATCAAGTAAATGTATTAAGTTTTTATTATACTTATGCAGGGTTTATTCTAATTTTAAAACACTAAATGCTACAATTTAAATGAATAGTTGTGAAATCTTAATCTTTTCTTTCATACCTGAAAATAAACAGAAATTCATTAAAGAACTTTAATATTAATTATCCATGTAAACTAGAATTATTACCGTTACTGGGGAAAAACATCTTTAATAAAACACAAATCAATTTAGACCGCATGTGTATAAGATAAAATAACATCATATATACACATATAAAAACATATGAAATAATTTGTTTCCCAAATGTGTGAATTATATATAATAACTTCAACTTGAGGCTACAATTTAAATGCGCTATAACAATGAAATTTAAACCCTGCTATAGACTTCATAATCAAATATACGATTGATTAAACTGAACTTTCTCATACATCTCATATTAAAAATATTAAAATCATGAGTGTGGCATTTAGATGATAGAAACATGTATCATTAATGATTACCGTGGTGCTTTACTTAAATAAAGCACAACAATCCATGAAATTCGCAGAGGAGTCATCGAGCCGCGCTTGGAAATCATACAAGACCACGACGTCAGGCACAGCCTCGCGCTACCGCACCACTCCGTATACACGACCTTCCAAGTAAACACCTATAAAAAATCATCCGTTAAATTTTTTTTTTATTTTAATCATCCAAATCCTTCTAAAATTTTTTTTCTGATATTTATTATTTCATAGCCTTGTTAGTAATCCGTTGACGGGTAATCTTCCTAATGCACGGCGGCCTATGATGCCTATGCAGAAACCCATAAATGAAAGAAATCGTCCTTAATTGGTCCTGAGATGCAGAAGCTAATATGGTAATAACGCGCAAATGTTATTATTACCCCTTTATAATATTAAATAGAATAAGATAATTGATAAAAATTACATGTTCTAATGATCGGGAGATTTATTTCTCGTTCAATTTTCTTTCTTACACTTTCTCTCTATCCGTCTCTCTTTTACTTACAAATGCTCTGTACATTACTTTTATTTTATTTTTATCCTTTTTTTATAATAAATTCGATAATTTTCAGATCAGTTTTCGCGGCCGCTGGATAAACAGGAACATATAAAACTAATCCTTGATTAAAATATAGGCAAAACCAATACTACCAATCAAGTACGCGTAAAAAGTTTATTCCGTTGAAAACATTTTAACCGATTCATATTATACTGTTAATTCGATACATCTAATTTTCTACAAAACATTAAGTCCGCTCCTTGCGTCCTTTTCCTAAAATTTTGGCCATAGAAGAGTTTAACTATTGACAAGGAGTAAAGGACCAAGAAGATCGGTAGGATTAAATAAGTAAAACGTTTGAACATAAGAACTTAAATATGTGTTGTTTAAAGTGAAACAATATATAAATTTCTCAATCGTATACTCATTATTACATGCATTATTATATGCAAGTTAAGTACGAATAACATTTAACGACTAATAATTTTTTTCGAGCTGTACTTAATATCTTCGACTGTTCAAAATGAAACATTAAAAAGAAAAATATTAATTTTAACAAATTAATGTTGTTTATCTTTTATAAAATTGTAAATTAACATTTAGTTGGTCAAGATGTAACTTTTACTCGAAACGACATCATAAAATGTTATTGCATTGCAAATAGAACAAATTAAATAATATAAATGATGTATGCAAGTACAATTTAAAACTAAATTTATAAATTGATTATATAAGTTTATTATTATTATGACGCTATATTCTTTTCTTAAGCATAGCTTTTATTCATTGAAATTAAAATGCGTAACATGTAGATTTATGTACGTAAAAAAAATGACGATCTATATAGATGAATGATTTTTATTGTGTAGAACGAGAAGCAGATTATAATAATAACCCACAATGTTAGAACAAATAATTCTGAATATATAACTATTCAAAAATATATGGAATGTAATTTCTAAATCAATATGTCATTAAACTAATATGTTCATTCTGTAACATGTAATCCTCATAAATTGAAATAAATATGACGTAATAACACGAAACATTTTGTTTTGAAAAATGCCAAAATAAACTTCCCAACCAATAAATGCTAAGAATTCAACAAATTCGAAGAAAAAATTTTTATAGATACATAGTTTTTACCCTACAAAATATTGCATAATTTTACTACATATAATATATATGAGAATTTACTACATAATTTTATATACATGTATATATATTTAAAATAATATATAATTATTCGATTATTTTCAGTATGAAATATAGTTGAAGTTGATTAAATGGAATTAAAAGTGGAACACATAAAACGTATGAAGAAATATTGCAAAATAGCTAAATAATTTTTTATAAATATAACGCATGGAATAAAGCCTAAAGCTCATATTTTAAAATACTATAGAGTCCTAATCGTAAAAGTTATTCAATTATTTCATTGTAAAATTAATCTTAAAAACTTCGAAGCATCGAAACAATTCAATTTTATTTTAATATTGATATTCATATATTTTATATATAGGTGGATAGAGGGTCATGAAGACCGCGTGGGAATCATGTTCTTTGTGGATCAAAATATTATTAGTCTCTCCAGTCGTGCGATGGACTTTCAAGTGCCGCGAATACATTTAAAGATGATGTGAGTACACTTATATTTTATTTACAATTATTGAATGTTAAAAACAGATGCAGAGTTGGATGATTTTATTTTTTGAGTTACGTAAAAACTGGCAGATATAAATTGAAGATAATAATTATAAAACTCATGTCAAATTTAACGGGAAATAAATAATGTATCCAAATGATCGAAAAATCATAATACTGTGCATTTGTTTTTAACAAATATTTTTATAAGATACTTTATTGAGAAGTATTCTAGTTTGTTGCAAATATATAAATTTGCATGAAAGTATCAGCTGAGTATAAAGGCATAGAAATTTCTTATGAAAAAGACATAAGTAGAATTAAAATAGTAAATATTATTCGATATATACAATATTACGTTACTTTAGTGTATTTAGGTATATGGTTGATATAGTTCGAGGTGTCACTAATTAATATTTTTGATAAATTAAATTTAAATTATTATATCTTTTTAACAAATGATTAATAACCGAGGGAAAATATTGATAGAACTACAATTAGTTTAGAAATAACGTTAGTGACTTGGCGATGATATACTATAATCGATAACTATTTTGAAGTGAAAAATAAATGAAATCCAGGAAAGATGAGTTTTCTTGAAATATTGCCCCACGTGTGACATTATCCCCCCTTCCATTTGTCCCACAATTTAGCCCGTATTTTAATTTACCACGAAGCCAACCAAAAAAACATACAGTTTAAAATGAATAAGACAGATTGTAAAGCTGACGATGATTTTTCTGCGTCGTTGATATGATAGGTAGTTATTTTGTTACGAAGAATTGCTTAGAAACAATATTTCTTATTTATTTATCACACACCAATATACAAAATGAACTGTATAATCAATATCAGAATATAATATACTACGAAATTCAAATATATTTAATAAAGATATATCTGAGTATCTTACAAGATTAGAATAATGCTTCAACTTGAAACAAAAATCATCTACAACATTCTTTGCAGTTGGCACAGAAATTCTGGTAGAAAAACGTATTTCTACAGCTGTTCTAAGGGTTATAAATAAGTATTAATTTATGGGAGTACTTAGCTTCTAACAAGTCGCATCTAAGTAGTCGTGAGTGAAAATAAGGTGCCGAGTTTTCTTTTCGCTAACTTTTTCCTAACTAATCCCTTTGCATTTGACCCGGGGAGCCGGCTGATGCTTTTCGTTCACTATATTCGTTCACTTACAGTGCAATTAAGTTACCGCGCTGGGGAGCGTCCACATCTTGTATCTGTTGAAACGCATGCTGACTTTAGTTGCACTTTTCGCATAATAATTGGACAATTATTATGTTACTTATTTCATATGCGTCATTTTATTTATAACGACTTCACAATATCAAATTAGTGAAATTTTTTGCAATGTACAATGTTGCTTCGGTACATTAGTTAATCATTAGAGTGATCCTTATTCATACTTGCTAACAATCATTTTTGCTCGCGTTTTTCTCTCGATATTTTCGCATAGTTCTTGCCGCGGAAGAAATCAAATTGGAAACTAAAGTAACACAGCGCGCGCATAATAAAGATCACACTACTGATCTTCTAAATCTATGTATTACATTATTAACAAAATTGTGTTACTTGTGAAATATACATATATAAACGTAAAATTATAATATAAATAAAAAAAAAAAACGTAATACAGCAAATACAGAATATCAGATCGATGCGAGGATTTCAGGATTTTACTGGAATGCGTTTTAACATTTACAAAATTGCTTTACGCTTGTAATGCAGAGGCGACTCTACTGTAATACAAGCCAGGCAGCAACCTATACAGTCTCACATGTACTCGAGGAACTCGCGTATACGAGAAATCCTCATCTGCGAGGATCAAAGTTGTACCCGAGAGCTCGTGCAAATATAAGAACGCGAATGGAAGAGGGTGAGACCGAGGGGTCTCTCATGTGTGTATATGTGTGAGAATGTTACATTAGATCAGCAGTATGATAGCGTGACTTAGCTAAAGCTTCGCTAGAGTCCTAGAGTCGCCTCTAACACCATGAGACGTGTGAGTCCTCGCCGTGAGTCCTGCCACGTTCCACATTAACGAGCCGGTCTCTCGCACTGTCCACGACCACTTCTAATACTTCACCTCTATGAAAAAACATGGAATGTATAGTGTATTTTTTATCGGTTTACACCTTAATAATGTACGATTATATCACAAGAAAGATTCAAATATTCTGTACATAATTCGCGACGACGCGAGAGGCGTGCGGCCAGGTCGTCCCTTTTCTCCCCCCCCCTCCCTCTCTTTCCTCTTCCACCTCTTTTTTCTCCCGTTGTTTTTTAAATCTTACATTTATATACGCCTAAGATTTAATTACAAAGTTAGATATGTCTCAGGTTCACCTGGTATTGTACTTCATACAATATCTCGTGACTGACGAGTCCGAGATGCGGTCGACGAGCGTGTGTCGCGCGTCGCTCTCGACGAGACTTCCGTTTTGTCACGCGTATTTTTTTTTTTTTTTCCTCTGCGTGCTCAACGAAACTGCTCGTTTTCGTTGCGCTGCTATCTCGCTTTCCTCTATGCGGTTCTTTTTTTGTTCCTTAGTCGCTTGTTGCTTAATAGTTAATAGCTCGATAATTGGCACATCTTTTTAATGGCAAGTTTCGCATTGGCACGATAAACGGCCCTAGGAATGGCCTCGAGTACAGTCCTCCAAAGGAGAATCCAATCGCTGACAATGAGTGCGGATGGCCCTTATTTCTAACTTGCTATCGATTAATGATAAATCTTTCTAGATTGGGAAATATAGCATAAAAAGATTGTGAAGTGGCATTACAAATCGCAGTTTAACGATGTCGCTCGTTTTCGGGTGAATCTCGGTTTAGAATCTCGTCAGAAGGACTTTAATCTTGACGATTCCTCGGACTTGACGTCGTTTCTGACTATGACGCGAGTGTGCACCTATGAAAGGCAGAATATTCTTGCTGTGGTCAATCGCACGACGTCCGATTATGATTAATATCAGTAGAGATGACTGATACATTGGTTACTGAAGACTAAGTTGCACTTTGATACTCGTACACGACCGCTTCCGTGTTCTATTTATACACAAACAATTGCTGGTCCAGATAAGTCTCATTGATGGAAGCCCAGCTTTCCAGTAAGAGAGGAAGTAATACTTGTTAATTCCGTGTTTACCGTAAAATAATCCGGAATGCGCATTAAAAAGAGGATCGAAAGAAGTAAACTGCTCTTGTCCCCGCTCGTCTATGCTGATTAATTTTCCGCGTTTTGAATTGGCCTTTGATTTTTATTTTTATCGCCAATTGTTCACTAATAATTACAAATTGTAGATTATTGAATTGCAAAAATAATTGTTTGGCTTTAATTAATATTAACAATTGCACTAAATTTTTCATTTGTTCCCCGCCTATCATAAATTTCACATATATAAATCACGAATCTTCATTCTTCTCGAAAATCTTGATTTTCTTCTGTGGAGTTTTCGATAGAAACAAAAATTAACAATGCAAGAGAATTAAGATCTTGCATTTCTTGTCGCGCTTTTTGTCACTCATTGCACAGTTTCTGTACGGAGTGTAATATTTTTCTGAGTTTACTGATCGAACGATGTGTGCTAATAGAATAAAACAGAATCTTATTTGCATTATTCTAATACTTATAAAAGTAAGCGAGCATTTGTCATTCATTTAATACATTTAATTAGCCTTTTTCCTCAGTACAGGTAACTTCATCAGCAAATTATTCGAAAATACAGTAGCCTGCACGATTCACGTATTACTGAATCGCAAATCTTTAACAAACTTGATCTCGTATTTGCGATGAAGCATCGGTGGGATAAAGGGCGGATTATATGAATAGACTTGCACAGATCGTAACTGTATACCTTTGATCATTTTGATATTTCGGAACGTTTTTTTTTTTTTTTTTTTAACTAATAAATTATATTTTCTTAATTTTTGTCACATATTATCATTACGTTTTGCCGTTTACGTATGATGATAGATAGACATAATTTACTTAAGTTAATTAAATTCTTTGGAACAGAACCGAAGATCTAAACGCAAAAGTATACAAAAATTTCCAATATCTTAATGTATTTTTATACAACATAAATATATCCAATTGATATTCATAAGTAGATATTTTTTTTTATATTTACACATTTTTCGATTCTAATATGATTATTTCTACTGTACTTTTACTGTAAAAAAATTTTTTAAAAACACAAATTATTTTTTAAATAATAATTTAAGTAAAATATTATTTTTGATATAGAAATATATTTATATAAGCCTTCTTTATATTTTCATGATTTTCAATCAAATAGCCATTTCTTTCATGTCTATAAATTATTATAACTAGATTATATCATTTCAATATACATATATTTTTCAACTGAGAAAAAGAAGTGAAGATACATATAAAATACATTAAATGCACTTTAAGAAATATGTATTATTAACGAGAAATATTCTAGAATATCTATTGGATATTTACATGATGTATAGATCTAACTCTTCTTGCTCTAACATCGTACATATTTATAGCATAGATATTTACTCATCTACTTACAAAAAAATTTTTCCAAAAACTTCTTATAAAATTATATGAATAAAATTTTAATTGCAATTGTAAGCATTAATAAAAAGAAAGGTCTTTCAGACGTTTCTTAACATAAATTCTAATTTGAATTTTCAACGTAAAGTACAGAATAAATAGAAACCGCACAAAAGCGACCAGCGACAAAAGTTAGGCCCCGTCCTTAAATTTCTTCGCAGCGGGCTCTATTACGCGAATTTTTTTTTTTTTTTGCTTTCTTATTTCCTATCATCGACCATCCCTGATTGCACATTTCGCACGTTACGCAGCCTGCGTGTAGAATTGCCTATAGAAGCTTACGACCAGCCAACCTCGGCGTACGCGTTCTCGGCATGTGCGTGTACGCGTTCTATAGTGGTCCACTGCGAGCTTTCCGCAAGAGTGGTTGACGTTGACGGAAGCTCAATTGTACGGCCAGGAGTGTCTGATAGACGTGACCACATTCGAGGTAGGCGGGTCTTCCGTGCGTCACTTCTTCATGTCGTTCATCAGCGTGTTGTCCTTGCTCTTGTTCGTGTCGAGATTCGACTGTTGACTGCTCGTCACGCCGCTGCCGTTCCCGGGATACATCTTCTCCAGATGATTCAAAGACTCGCTTAGGAACTTCTGTAACGAGAAATGTAAAAGATTCGTGGAATAGCGATATTTTAGGCAAAGAACGAGAATTTGTAGAAAAAGGATCTTATCTTTATTTTATATTTAGACTTTTCAAGTCACGATACGAGAAAACAGGAGGGAAAAAATGAACAAGAGAAAAAAACTCAATCGCGCTACCTGTATAGCCGTTAAAGCGGCTACGATCGCAGGACTTCCGAATCCGTGTGATATGAGAGAGAAATGAGTGAGATGTCTCTGTATACTGGGATCGAGAATATGTTGCGGCCGCGTGTTGCAAAGTGGCGATCTGTCCTGATTCAGAAGATCCATCAGCTCTTTGGTGATTTGTCTGCGAACATTAAAGTTTCAAAATCGGATTACCCGACTCTCGCCGCAAGAGACGTTTTTATCGGTATTATAATGTCAGGATAATGCGATAACGACGGCGCTTATTCTTACTTGGTGGCATGAAGAAGTTCTTTCCTCCTGTAGGAGTCCTGCGGCTCGCAATGCTGCCGGCTGAGATACTCGGCAACTTGCTTCGCCGGGAATTCAGTTTCGCAAACGTAGCCGAAGTCTCTGGCCAGGTGAATGGCTTCTCCTGAAAAGAATAAAATATTCACGTATAATCGCGTGATGCCATTATGTAAACTTACCAGTGTACATAACGGTCGATGAAAACGATCGCGGAATTTTGACTTGACAGAAGGTAATTTATCGTGTTCAATAGTTGAAGTCGAATCTATGGTGGATATCTTGTCAAATTTATAGACGTAGATTCATAGTAGGATTCATAGATCTCTATCATTCAACAATAGGTTTTCAAATTTATTATTCTGTAATCATGATTTATTTTTTAATATTGAAAAAATAAACGTCTATAGGATTCTGTGACGATAAAACTTTCAGTTAATTTTACTTCGAGTAACTTTTTTATTTTTATAGAAACTTTATTTAAATTACGATCTTCCATAAAATATTTACTAAGAAAAGACTGCTTTTAAATTCAATATTAAATCTTTGGCTGAAGGAGTATTTAATTAGTCTAGCTTTTCATATAATGAGATTAAATTATTTTTGATAAAAAATAAAACAATGTTAAATGAAATAGCGTTTCTACGGAAAATTAAAAGGATTCGATGGATTTTCGGTTCCTTTATAGACATAAGATTAGCTAATTGAGTTTATGAAATAATATACATGTTTTCTCTTCACGCTGCCCTTTTAATTTTTCATCTTTTTTCTTTCGGCCCCTTTGTAATCTTTGCGACTATTCTCTCGGTGATGGAAAATAATTAAGTATCTACAAGTAGGGTCTCATGCAAGATAGAAGTATAAGGATCCGCTGAGCGCTATTATCGACAACTGAATAAAGTCACCAGCAGGTATTGGTCACGTGTATTACTTATGAGATCTGGAATGAGTTACGAATCGACCGAAGCCACCCACAGTTAATAAATTATTAAAATTCAATCTTCCATTTTTTCTCAACAACAGCAAAGAGCAATATTCCTTATGCGCGGAGATAAGTACATCGAATTTGTTTGCAGAAGTCTCGTAACGATTGGAAGGTCAATGTAAAAACCTACTGAAATCACAGACGGTGTTACGACATTGCCTATTAATAGAAATTGATTTTGGTTTCATAACATTCTGAAGACTTTTTTTGAAAATTGAAGTTTTTTAAATATTTAGACATCTTTTTAGTGAAATTTATGTTTAATTGCGATGTTTGGAATCAAATTTAGACCCAAAATCTTAAACCGGTTCGAAATTAATAACGAATAGTGTATATTTATTGTAGCCTAGAGGGATGGATGTCTATTAACACGCGAGATGCTAAGTTATCGTTTAAATTCGAGCTCGAAGAAAGCGAGAGCTTTACACGCGAGGACTTTTATGCGTAAACCTTTGCAGCATGCTACACTGCACGTAAAGGCTTGTAGAACCAATAGTCTCGCGTTATACGAAAATATTTACATGTTAACAACTCACAATGGTGCTGGCCCAATTTAGATGCGAGAAATAATGAGATCTTAGCAAGACCATCGCCTGAGAGCATTCTAATTTGAGAGCGTAATGGCTGTGTGCCAGCAAGATTGTTGTTCGCACAAGGATCTTGCACGCACATAGCCTTGGGCGATCACCTAGATTGTCTTAGAAGTTATATTTCGAATATTTCTCTTTTTACAACTTACATTAAATCCATTACATCTAAGTTTATTGACGCAATTAAAAATACTATCGGCTTTATAAGATTTAATTATCACATCACTATATGTCCTGGAAAACAAGATCTTAGCAATGTTAGCTATCTGGGTGTGTTTTTTATATTTATATAAATTATTACTATTAATCATTTCGCAGCAATTTGTTTCATTTTACATATGCGATTTATTTTGTTTAGACAAAGAACAGATCAAACGAGATTTGGCAAGAAATTTTAGCATTATGCAATGCTTGGGAGTTTAATATTTTTAACCTTAAGATTAACTATTATTATTGAAAATTTTCTTACTAAAATACGTACACGATAAAAATAATAACAGTCAATCACTTGTCAATGTTAACTTCTCAAGTATATTTTTTTAGAGTTTTTGAATATTAAAATTCCAGTTCCATATATAATATATGACTTGAACTACAATACATTTCGCGTTATGCCATTTTATGTGGCATAAATTATACTTTATGTAGTCGCAACCGTCATGATCGTCGTTATTTTAATAGACACGCCATTGATTCTACGTGTTTGTGCCAAATCTGTCGTAACGCTTTGTAGTAAAAAAAGTTTTCACCGCGGTCGCGGAGGAAAGGAAAAATGCGAGCGAACGCGAGCATACGCATTAAGCGAAACGAGATACTGCTAACGCAGCTATGAAAAGCATGTAAGTAGTTCGAAACTGCCGATGTTTTGCGTTGTTTAACGTTACACAATGCTGCGGTGCTGTGCCGCTTGCACTGATTTTACGTAATCCCATTATGCACTCGTCCAATGTATTCAGTAAGTACGAACGTAAGACAGTAAGAAACATTAGATACGAGTAACGATTCGCATTTTTAATAGAAAAAAAATGTTATTTTTTACTGAGACTGGAATCTACAGTGAGCAATATAGAGATAAACTCTCGGTAAAAAATAATATGTTTTCCTGTTAAAAATGCGAATTGTTACTTGCTACTCGTATCTAATATATCTAATTGCGTGCTTAACGAGAAGTACAGCTGCGGCTCTTATAAATAAAACAAGTGAGACTTAATAAAGATATTTACAATTTTAAAAGTTATAAAAGATGTTACAGTATATATACATATAAAACTGATATAAAAGATTGTGCTCTACTTTGCAGCTTTATATATTTAAAAAAATCAATATCTACATACATATATAAAAAAGACGACAAGAAATGTGATTTATTAAAGCACATTTTAATATTATTTGCTATCAAGAATATGATTTTATCGTTGAAGCTTAATTTATAAAATTCCTCAAATTACTTAAAAGCGAATAAATGTTTCAAGTTTGAATACTTTGAACGGAAGCTAAAGCCTCAAACGATGTAGCACGTTGTAGAAGTTGCAATCAAAAGATAACTAAGAAAATTCCACTTAAGACAGGATTTTAATTTCGATCACTTTCCTGTATCAATATGAACTGAGGAAAAAAAAAGATGAAGCTACAAGAGAGACTACGTTCCAGGTAAAGAAGGTACTTTACGCAACGCGTATTCCAGCGAAACGTCGGATACTTCGTTTCGTGCCATATTTATTAACATGAGTATCACGCCGTTGTTTCCTACGGGATTCCCCGCATTAGGCGCCCGCAGCCGACAGTAAGTTAACTATCGGCGATCTTATCGACACCGTTGAACGCGGTGCAAATTTCCATGCCTCTCTCTCGCATATGCAAGGTGCAACAGGTCGTTCCGGTCGATTATACTTTAGTCTCCCGCGTGGTCAACTCTTCCGCACGAATTTGCATATCTTCCCCGCTCGTATCTTTCCGTTTTTCCCCTCCTAATCTCTTTTCAGTAAATTAACGTATCTGTTAGCATACCTTGCTAATATGTGCCGTTTCCGAAGCATTTACGATTATGATTGCAAATGCGAATATAATTTGTACTTTGTTGTACGATTCTTTTTCCTTAAAAAGACTTGGCTTTGAAATTTTCTTGCTGCTTTTATTCGGACGCAGCTAATGCCTTGTCAGCTAGCTTTTGCAAATTTTATTTCACATCGGGATAGTAGCGTCTGAAACTCTATTTTTGAATTCGATTACTCTACGCGGTATCCGAGGAAAAATATAACTTTCCACGTTTAGTGTTCGAAATTGGAATTGAAAAAAAAAAAGATTACGCGCACGTGCTATTTTAATACTGTTGTTAAACATGCTGTTTCGATTTGATGCGATGTAATTGCTCAAAAGAATGTCCAATTTACATACATATTCCGAGTGCACGAGTATGACTCAATAAAACGCAGGGATTCACAGATGCATGCTACAGATTGCCGAGGGAACTCGCAGATGGGAGATTCAGATTAGCGTGCGCGAGTAAATGAGAACGAATGGCTAACGTGACTTGTGAATTGATGAATGGCCGTATAGTGCTTGACGACTTCACCGGTGCCGATCGCGAAGCAGTGGACAATCGATCAAAAGCAATGCGATTGATACGCGATGGCGCAGCAAGAAGATCGGTCCGGAAAATGCGCTTAATTATACGGCTGAGTAATTTCATTTTTTTCTTTTTTTTTTATCAACACGTGCTGACATCATTGATGCATAACTATATATAGGGTGTTCGAAATTGATTCGATGCGATCTTTATATTATGAAATGTTAGCAGAATCTATACAGTTTCCCAAAAATGTTGAAAATTAATTATTGTTAAATTATTAGTTTTTTTTTTTCAAGTTTCTTTATTACACGTATAAAATAATATTTTGTAACGCTGTAAAATGTGAAAGTTAATAACGTAAATTGAGAAATTATGTCGCTATCTATTAAATATTGCAATATTAAAAAAAAATACGTACATTGACGAGGTCTAATAGGCCCTGATTTGTCACGGCCTGTTTCCACTTGTAAATATTTTTTACAACCAACTTTATCGAGTGATCATTTTTTTTTTTAGTCATCGGGAATGATGTTCGATAGAAATTTGCTTGCCGACGATAGAATAATCTTATTCCTCAGAGCGCTGTTACGATAGCCAATATCGCGCGCTCCATCCTGGCCTTCGACCGCAAATCACGTTCCATTATACGTTCTAATAATCGAACCTGCGCGAAAGATTTCGGGAGTTCTCTTCCGCGTATCCGACGGGTCGTCGTGTTCGGATATATATCTTGCGGTTTCATACCAGTTAAAACTTTACAACGAGTTGGCTGCGGTCTACGTACAGGCGTATAATGTGTCTAAAATACGTATTCCTCGATCCCCGTGCATGTTATTCTGATGCAATTTTGCATCGCATGTTACTCGGACCGTTCTAATCTAAAATTTTATGATATACGTTACATCATGAAACGAGAGAGTTAAATCTTAGAATAATATGAATAGAAATTACAGGATTACGAGTTATTAAACGTGAAATGAAGT